CTGTTTCGCTCCATTCTCTCTACATGTCCGAACCACCTCAACAACCCTTCCTCAGCCCTCTGGACAACAGTTTTGGTAATCCCGCACCTCCTCCTAACTTCCAAACTATGAATTCTCTGCATTATATTCACACCACACATAGCCCTCAGACATGACATCTCCACTGCCTCCAGCCTTCTCCTCGCTGCAAGATTCATCACCCATGCTTCACACCCATATAAGAGCGTTGGTAAAACTATACTTTCATACATTCCCCTCTTTGCCTCCAAGGACAAAGTTCTTTGTCTCCACAGACTCCTAAGTGCACCACTCACTCTTTTCCCCTCATCAATTCTATGAAAACCATACCCCCGGCCGGGATTGAACCCACGGTCATAGAGTCTCAAAACTCCAGCCCGTCGCATTAGCCACTAGACCAGCTAGCCACAATAAGATTCATCCAACTAGGTATATTTCTATACCATAGGAAAGTTAGCACAGGCACCTCTGTGACCACAAATGCAAGTTTTTACAGACGAATCTCCAGCTAGCGTGGCCGTGACGAACTCTAGCTCAAGTTCCTTCACTGCCGTCAACATGACTCAAGAAATCGTAATGACACGATTGTTTGCAATCGTGTCATTACGATTTCTTGAGTCATGTTGACGGCAGTGAAGGAACTTGAGCTAGAGTTCGTCACGGCCACGCTAGCTGGAGATTCGTCTGTAAAAACTTGCATTTGTGGTCACAGAGGTGCCTGTGCTAACTTTCCTATGGTATAGAAATATACCTAGTTGGATGAATCTTATTGTGGCTAGCTGGTCTAGTGGCTAACGCGACGGGCTGGAGTTTTGAGACTCTATGACCGCGGGTTCAATCCCGGCCGGGGGTATGGTTTGTTTGCAATCGTGTCATTACGATTTCTTGAATCAATTCTATGATTCACCTCATCTTTCATAGACCCATCCGCTGACACGTCCACTCCCAAATATCTGAATACATTCACCTCCTCCATACTCTCTCCCTCCAATCTGATATTCAAAATGCTTTGCTTAACAAGGAGGTTGTTATATATATAGTAGTTATTATTATTATTATTATTATTATTATTATCATCAAAAAGAAATGCTAAATCTATATACGTACAGTGGAACCTCAAATATCGAACTTTCTTCGGTCCAGAAGGCTGTTCGAGTGCCTTTACCGAATGAATTTATTCCCATCAGGAATAATGTAAATTAGATTAGTCCATTTCAGACCCTCAAAAATACACTTATAAAAGCACTTACAAAAATACACTTATATAATTGGTCGTGTTGGGAGCAGTTTGATTTTTGAGGTTCCACTGTAGTACTGTAGTACTATGTCATTGATGTCAGATAGGCTTGAATACCTTATACGTACTTGTATTTGTAGTCTGTAATCAGACTAACAAAGACAGTTGTTTAATAGGCTCTCTTTCCACCTAAACCTCAATTTTATGCCAAAGGAACCCATATGCAGTGATAACCAGTCCTGACTACTGCACAGACGTGGAATCTCCAGATCCAGTTGGATTTAAAAAAAAAAATCAAATATGTATTTTTCTTATAGGATTTGAGGGAACTTTAAACAGAATGTAAATGGGAAAAGAAAACAGGAAAAAATATTACAATTAGTCTCCCTTCAATGAAGGGAGACTAAGACAGGATTTTTAACTCCACAAAGGGGGCAGTAAAGCAATTGCAAAGAACTACAAGCCAATAGCACTAACATCCCATATAAAAATCTTTGAAAGAGTTCTAAGAAGCAAGATTGCCATTCATCTAGATACCCATCAGTTACACAACCCAGGGCAACATGGGTTTAGAGCAGGTCGCTCCTGCCTGTCCCAACTATGGGACCACTATGACAAGGTCTTGGAGGCTCTAGAAGACAGACAAAATGCAGATGTAGTATACATAGACTTTGCAAAAGCCTTTGACAAGTGTGACCATGGTGTAATAGCACACAGAATGCGTAAGTAAGTAAATTTATTCAGGTATACACAATACAGTTACATAGAATTATCATACATAGCAGCATATGTGTAGAGAACCTAGGATAACCCAAAAAAGTCAGACAGAGTGACTTATTTCCATTGGGGTCCTTTTACCATATTATTATAATATAAAGGTTATAATATTTTCTTATTATTCTATAATGAAGATAACATCTTATTATTATACTAAAAAGACTATCTACTACACGAGGGTCATTAAGACTATCTACAATACGAGGGTCATTAAGACTATCTACTACCCGAGGGTCATTACGACTATCTACAATACGAGGGTCATTACTAGGGATAAGATAAAATTTACACGTATTTTAGCTAAAAAATAGAAAATCATTCCCCTCCCTTTCTGTTGCTTCATTCATCATAAGGGAATAACAGGGAAAAGTTGGGATATGGATCTACAATTTCCTAACAAATAGAACACAAAGAGTAGTAGTAAACAGATTAAAGTCTGAGGCAGCTACTGTGAAAAGCTCTGTTCCACAAGGCACAATACTGGCTCCCATCCCATTCCTCATCCTCATATCTGACAGACAGGATGTAAGCCACAGCACCATGTCTTCCTTTGCAGATGACACCTGAATTTGCATGAATGTACTCCATTGAAGACACTGCAAGACTCCAGGCGGACATCAACCAAATCTTTAAATGGGCCGCTAAAAACAATATGAAGTTCAATGATGAGAAATTTCAATTACTCCGATGTGGAAAAAAGTAAGGAAATTAAAACTATATCGGAGTATAAAACAAATTCTAACAACACAATAGAGTGAAAAACTAATGTAAAAGACCTGGGTACGATAATGTCAGAAGATCTCACTTTCAAAGACCACAACATTGTATCAATTGCATCTGCTAGAAAAATGACAGGATAGATAATGAGAACCTTCACAACTAGGGATGCCAAACACATGATGACACTCTTCAGGTCACTTGTTCTATCTAGGCTGGAATATCACTGCACACTAACAGCACCTTTCAAGGCAGGTGAAATTGCTGACCTAGAAAGTGTACAGAGAACCTTCATGACACACAACTGCGATAAAACGTCTAAATTACTGGGAGTGCTTGAAGTTCCTAAATCTGTACTCCCTAAAATGCAGGCAGGAGAGATACATGATTATATACACTTGGAAAATCCTAGAGGGATTAGTACCAAACTTGCATACGACAATAACTCCCTATGAAAGCAAAGGACTCTACAGACAATGCAACATTCCCCCAATGAAAAGCAGGTGTGCCACTAGCACTATAAAAGCCAACACAGTAAGTGTCAGGGGCCCAAGACTGTTCAACTGCCTCCCAACATACATAAGAGAGACTATCAAACTGGACAGGCACCTAAAGTCAGTACCTGATCAGCCGGGCTGTGGTTCGTACGTCGATTTGCATGCGGCCAACAGTAACAGCCTGGTTGATCAGGCCCTGATCCACCATGAGGCCTGGTCACTGACCAGGAGTATACCTTCTCCAGGTAGGTTAGCCATCCGGGATAACCAGATTATTATTATAATCAAAAAGAAGCGTTAAACCTACAAGGATCAGGAAAACCAAAGTCAGTGCTTCATTCTGTTTTTTCGGGACATTCTCAGTAACATTTGATAGGTTGTTCATAAATTTTCGTTTAAACTTCATTGGAATGCTTCTGGTTAGACAGAGCAGCATACGAGCCAAAACATTTTTTTTTTTTTTTTGCTGTCTCCCAAGACAATTTTCACAAGAAACTTGTAGCAGAGATATGTCTAGTAAATAACTTTATTTAGGCACAGGCACACATAAATACAATTATCATATATGGTGTCAATTACCTAGGATAACTAAAACAAGTCAAAGTAACTTTATTTAGGTACAAGTATAAATAAATAGTTACACAAATTATCATACATAAGTAACAAAACTTTGTAATCTTTTGACTACCGTCCACAGGATGGGTATGACGTGCATAATAAATATATTAAACTAAAACACTCCATTATAGGAGCTTTAATAGTAACTGTTTCATGCCAAGATGCGACCATTCCCATTAATTGATAAACTAATTGTTAATTTTTAAATGTGTTGAAGTACGTACCTCACTTTTGTAAATCTAGCTACCTAACTTTAATACCAGTACGATATATAACCTGTGTCAATATAAACTAAGAAATAGTATTAGGCTGCCCGAAATGCCTAGGCATACTAGTGGCCTTCTCTGTAATAAGCACTTTATGTTATAATTATCTTATAATATGTAAACCACACATTGTAATCTATACAGAGAAATAAACATTTAAATTTCAATATGTCTACATTACCTAGGAAGGATAAGTTAAGAAAGTCGAAGTGACTACATGTATTTCCATTGGTGTCTTTGTTTTCACTTACAAACAATAAGATATAGACTGAGTTAGGACCAGCCCCTACAATAAATATTACCCAAAACAACTGTGTGCTTCATATATATAATACGTAAGTAGAAAATGTTATTTATTTAGTAAATGTAAATTATTCAATGTGTTGGAAGAGTACCACAGAGCGCGCTCGCGCTCCCGCTCTTCAGTTTTCACAACTACGCTAAATAAACGTCATTATAATGGGTTGACCCCTCAAGGAAGGTTCCTTGATGTTGGTGAGGGGCTCTTGATTTAGGGAATTGGATCTGTGCTCCAGTTCCCCGAATTAAACCTGAATGCCTTCCACAAATGGTAACTAACATCCCCCCCCCTAGGCGCTGTATAATCCTCCGGGTTTAGCGCTTCCCCTTGATTATAATAATAATAATATAATGGGTTGATTCCATATAAACACACACTTAAAGAAAAAAATTAGCGAAAAAAAGTGTTTTAAAAGATGTGAGGAGGTGGAGGGAAGAGTGAGTGCGGGTGAGAGAAGTCACTTGTCAGTGAGAGGTGGAGGTGGACGCCATTATCACGCTCCTCTGTCACTCTCAGTAATTGTCTTTCACTATACTACTGTGGTCACGGTAACTGTTGCTGGTGGTGTTATGGTGTGTTGTAGATGATGAGGGGGAGGGAGGGTGAAACACTGCTGCTGCTGCTGCACTAATATAGACTCTTACACCATCCTCACTAACGATGTTTGGCGCCTGAGACCTTGATGAAAATGGGAGAGTTTGTTAGCAGTGATCAGGGCTCCACCACCGAAACATCTTCAAATAAAAGTGTTCTAAGTGTTAGATTCGTATATGTTAAAGTGTAGTTGTGTATATGAACAAGTGTTGGTATAACTTGTGTTAAGTGCACAAGTGTTACCAGTGATGGATGAATAATGACAACCTTCCTCACAACATTTATTAAACATCTCGCTAGAAATTCTTTCAAGGTTTGTACCTTGGCGTCCTTGAAGGTCCTCATTTAAGTAGTAAAGCGCTCTATGACCCTCTCAGGTTTAGCGCTTTATAGTATATGCACCCTGGTGGAAGTAAATCGCATTATGTAAGTTTTTTTTTTTTAAGCCCCTGAAGAAAGGTTTCTTGATGCTGGTGAGGGGCTCTTGATCTAAGGAATTGGCTCTGCACCAGTTCCCTGAATCAAACCTGAATACTTCCATATCCCCACCCACAGGCGCTGTATAACCCTACGGGTTTAGCACTACCCCCTTCATTATTATAATAATTATTTCTAATGTATTCAAGAAATGTTTATGTAATATAAAAAAAAATGGAAATAAAGGATATAATTACTATTCTCTTACTACTCGCAGGAACTCTGGCATTAATTAGCATTTTTGACAAATAGAACCTGTGTACAAATAACCTGCACATAGGAGACAGGAGCTACAACGTTTCAGTCCGACTTGGACCATTTACAAAGTCATACTAACAAAAAGGAGAGGAGGGAGTATACCTCTACCACTACTATTCTTCCTTTCCTAGTACCTCTCTTGTCCTGTCCCTATCTGCTGGCGTATATATATATATACTCCCTCTCAATTTTGTTAGTGTCACTTTGTAAATGGTCCAAGTCGGATTGAAACGTCGTAAGCTCCTCTCTCCTATGTGCGGGTTATTTGTGTATTGTTCCAGTCACAGTATGGTGCCTTTTTGTTATTTAATATAACCTGTGTACACTAAGTATTTCTTGTATATGTTATTTTGGGAGATTTTCGAAAAAGTACATTTAGTTAGGTTATGCAACCCATTTGAGTCATTCAGTGTTATGTAAGCAAAGACACACACTACTGATAGCAGAGTAAGGTTAAGTTGGGGATTTTAAGCAGGATTATGTGGGTTTTGTTAGGTTACATTCTTTACCATCTGCACAACAAAACAAAGCAACATATTAAGATATTGTATAATTTAAACTATAATTAATGGGTGACTATGACCCTTGTGGGTTTAGTGCTTTGTTTTGATATAATAGACTGAAATGCACCACAAAATGGTAGTGTTTTACTTTGAGTTATCCAGGTCTTTCTCTTTCCTCTAATGAAATCTTATTACCTCCCCCCCTCCATCCCTCCCTTTTCCCAGGCATGATATAACCCCTATGAGTGTAGCACTTCTAGTAACCATGTCTAGCTATTCAGAGCTTTTCTGAGGTGAGGGGCTCTTGCTCCAAGGAAGTGCACCCACTGTTCCCTTCTTTGGATCAGACATTATGCCTGCCTGTTCTCCAGGTGCTATATGGCCCCTATGGGCTTAGTGCCTTCCCCAGATTATAGAAATACACAGTAATACGTAATGGAAAAACCCAAGCTAACTTGGCTATCCTTTCTAAGATATGTTACCATGTACCTCAAACAGCACTGCTTACATTATGCTGCTCCCTAGACTATTCCTTCCTCACCTATGGTATTTGTGCTTGGGGATCCACCACAGCAAGTCACCTTAAGCCCTTAACACAAAAAGTGGCAGTATGAATGATCATCCAGTAAACTGCCAGACAACACACTTCCCCACTCTTCAAAGACCTAAGCCTACTTAGTACACAAAAAATTCACTCATACTACATATACAGGACAATAAATTCTAATATCAATCCCGCCCTTGAACACTCTTGATAGTTGCAACAGAACTCAGTAAACATAATACTAGTTGCCTTAATCTCTCAATATTCCCTGCATCTGCCTTAATCTTTACAGAAACTCTGTGCATGAATCAGGAGTGCGCTACCTGAAAACTGCTAGATACTTTAAAGCTACTGTTAAAAATCACCACCTTTCCCTAATGTGATATTAACAACAATTATGCTGAACAGTTCTTTCAACCTGTATTGTCCCTTTCCTTGTCTATTATTCCTTCGTCTCGTGTACGTAGCTTAATCCTTGTATATTATTAATGACACTTTTCTTTATTGGTTTATTAAATACCTCCAATATTTTAAAAACTACTTATTCTTATTTGCTTGTAATCATAATTTAGTTTTAAGTCTGCCCAAAATGCTTTGCATAATGAGGAGCTTTCTATAAAGTAGTTGTGTGTCAGTCACCCTAATTGTACAGTATACTATATTCCACTTTATAGAAATAACATTTGTTTGTTTATGAGGGCAGGGCTATGAGTGTAGGTAAACTCCTGGAACCCATGAAAAATATCCCCTTGATACCAGTGAAGGGTTCTTGATCCAGGGAACTGGACTTATTCTCTCTGGGATCAAACCTGGATGCCTCCCATTACCCAAGTTGCTGCTAATGTATGAAAAGGCATATTGAAAGATAAATATTGGGTAAGTATTTTTTTGAAAAATGAAACTGATTGTAACAGTGTCTTTCGGAGAATAGGTTCTGCAATCTCAGCTTAAGAAAAGAAAAACAGGAATGCCTTAAGGCATTGTGTGTATTTGTAGGGAAGCATTAAAATCTTAGTGGGTCATGCATTAGAGATAATTAGCTTCAATCCAAGGAAGGGGAGGATAGCTCTAGTATCTTGGGTCAAGAGCCATTCAGAACAAAGGCACATTCCTTTGAGGAGCTATTGTATAATTTGCTTTGCATGGTTGCTGTCTACCTAGCTATCATTTATTTGCTCTTCATCAGAATGGATCTATTTTGCTGAGCAGGATACGTTAGGTCTGGCAAAAGTGATGTCAGATCATGCCAAATAACCAGCAGGATATTTTTACATTTTAATTTAAAATAAATATATAGTTTTTAATTCGTTACTTTTTTCAGGTTATTGGTGACTATCCAGTAAGAGTAGAAACCTGTTGTCAGTATGGCATTGGAAAGCAAGGCAACCTTGCGGACTGTCCGCAGGGTGCAGTTTGGTATTTTAAGCCCAGATGAAATTGTGAGTACTGTATTCTTTTTCAGTGAAACTTGTGAATATCCTTCTATGACAATTAAATTGATGAAAATGTGCAATACATAAATTGTTGCATTCTAAAATGCATTTGCAATATAAATTTGATCAATATAAATACAAGATTAGGTTTAAAATACTCCAAAATTAGCCCTTCCATCTTTTGCCTAAAAATATCATGTCATTTTAATGTAATATATTCTTTGAATTCCTGTATACAGTGGACCCTCGGCCAACGAAGGCATCGTCTAACGATAAATTCGTCCAACGAAGCGTTTGAGCGTAAAAATTTTGGCCCGGCCAACAATGAAAAACTCAACCAATATGATTTGTTTTTAACCTGTCCATCCAGCCTGAGCGCCACAGCTGCCCTGCCATTGTTGTTTACAAGCCAGGGTGGACGGTTCCATGCATATACGTATTCAATAAATTTTGTATTATTCCAGTGTTTTTAGTGCTTATAACTGCCTCGGTGGGAGACGGCCGACTTGTTGAAAAAAAAAAACTGCTAAATAAGCCACCATGGTCCCAAAGAAAGCTTCTAGTGCCAACTCTGGTAAAAAGAGTGAGAAATACTGTCAAAATACTATCTTCCCACGGTCAGCTGTTGCTGCACCACCATCAGCTGTTGCACCACCATCAGCTGTTGCTGCACTACCATCAGCTGTTGCTGCACCACTGTCAGCTGCTGCTGTACCACCGTCAGCTGCTGCTGTACCACCGTCAGCTGCTGCAGCTGCACCACCGTCAACTGCTGCAGCTACACCACCGTCAGCTGCTGCAGCTGCACCACCGTCAGCTGCTGCAGCTGCACCACCGTCAGCTGCTGCAGCTGCACCACCGTCAGCTGCTGCAGCTGCACCACCGTCAGCTGCTGCTGCACCACCATCAGCTGCTGCTGTTGCTGCACCACCGTCAGCTGCTGTTCCACCACCATCAGCTGTACTAGAAGATGTGGAGAGTGTGTTTTTTGGTGTGGCTTAACAAGAAACAATTAACCCCAGAGGGTTAGCCACCCAGGATAACCCAAGAAAATCAGTGCATCATCGAGGACTGTCCAACTTATTTCCATTGGGGGGGTCCTTAATCTTGTCCTCCAGAGCGTGACCCACACCAGTCAACTAACACCCAAGTGAACTGGAAAAAATGCCTGGAACTAGTGCTCATATTGGTGAATTTAAGGCCAGCAAAGGTTAGTTTGAGAGATTTAAGAATCGTAGTGGCATACACGGTGATAAGGCATGGTGAAGCTGAAAAATTCCAACCTCACCAAGTGTTGAATTGTGACGAAACAGGCCTGTTCTGGAAGAAAATGCCAAACAGGACCTACATTACTCAGGAGGAAAAGGCACTCCCAGGACACAAGCCTTTGAAAGACAGGCTAACTCTCATGTTTTGTTGTAATGCTAGTAGGAATTGCAAAGTGAAGCCTTTACTCATGTATCACTCTGAAAATCCCAGTGTGTTCAAGAAAAAGTGTCTCATCACTCGTCAGTACTCTTCAATAAAGGTAAGTGTCATTTTAACATTTATTTGTAGTTATTGTGCATGTCTCATTGTTTTCTTTGTAGGGAAATGTATATTTCATGAAAAAAAAAATTTAATACTTTTGGCTGTCTGGAACGGATTAATTGGATTTCCATTATTTCTTATGGGGAAAATTAATTTGACTAATGATAAACTCGCCTAAAGATAAGCTTTCTGGAGCGTATGAATATCGTTGGTTGAGAGTCCACCATGTTGAAAAAATTAAGATTTTTTACTTGTACGTATATCACAAATTTATTTTTTCTGATGGGTATTCATATAAAAATTTTGTACCATGGGTAATATACATTGACAAGGGAGTGATGTAGAAAATGGAGAAAACATTATTCATGAGTGTTAAACCATTGGAGATATAGCTGGCCCAGCTGAATAGGTGGAAATGTAAGGTACAATTTAGAAAGCCTCTCTTCCTTTTCCCTTCCCAAGTTGTTGTTTTTTTTTTCCACAAAGACTACTGTATATGACAACTTGAAAAATAGCTTTAAGATTCTTCTCAAATTGGCCTCTCATGGTCCATGTTAATGAACAGAACACTGAGCTCTGATAGAGCTCTTAACTCTGCTTTCAAATTGACACTAAAATTTAATTTTGTACAGTATTCTGTAAACATGAAATATGTATTTTCTACTTGCATTACACAAAATACTGAAATACTTGGCAACATTATACAGTAGATTGTTATGTAAGCAGTGGATGTTCATTGTTCAGGTATCCGACATAAAGCCAAGTGGGACGTTCAGGTAATAGAAAATCTAGATAATTTATCTTGCTTTAAATAAAAGCAAGAAAAACAAATGGCTTTATTAGTATAAGGAAAATATTTGCATGGTTGTCAAAGTCAGAAAAATACAGATGCTCTATTTTGTCACTTGACCTTGGCTAAGCTACGTCTGTTGTTTATGATGGCAAACACTGATTCGAAAGGGTTTTTATAATAAACCACTATGTTTGCTTATTATTCACACTAAATTTTAATAATTCCACTTAATCTTCACTTCCAAGGGCAGAACCATGATTGGATTATGATCAGTACTTTATATCCAAATGATCCATTTTTGTCTATCCTAGTTTTATTGATTAGCTGAAGAATGGTCCTGGGTCATCCAGTAATACTGCTGGAGATCCGTTAGGCCATCAATGATAAGTCACAGAAATCAAGATTAGCAAGTCCATGCAACTTTAAAATATGAATTTTGTCTTTTGTGACATCATTTGTATTTTTAACCCCCTTGTTGCAATCTCCTAACTCCGTAAATTTGGTTCCTATTATAATTTTTGAGCATTATGCATCAGTTCTCTTCCCTACCCTTCCCCATCACAACCCTGTTTACTTTTTACCTCTCTTTAGTTAGGTTGTGAATTTGTATTAATTCATTCAATTTTAATAGAGGTGCAAACATCATGTGAAGAGGTAAAAGGATGTAAAAATAATTAATTTGTTTAGATTTAAAACTGGTCATGAAAAGGTGAATGGGCTGGATTATAAAAAAGTGGAGGATCCAAGACACTGAAAGGTGTAGTATTTAATTATATTCCAGTTTGTTTGAGTTTGTAACTAACTGCTATAAAGAATAATTAACTTTGAAAATACTTTATTTCTACATTATTTCAGCGCCGCATGTCTGCAACTGAAGGTGGCATAAAGTATGCAGAAGTGTATGAAAATGGGAGACCAAAGTTGGGTGGGCTCATGGACCCACGACAAGGGTGCTTGGATCGCAACACCCGTTGCACTACATGTGCTGGTAACATGACTGACTGTCCTGGGCATTTTGGACACCTGGAGTTAGCTAAGCCAGTCTTCCATGTTGGTTTTTTAACCAAAACCATGAAAATATTGAGATGTGTTTGCTTTTATTGCAGCAAACTTCTCTTCAATGCAGTACGTATTCTGAAAGAAATACTGTATTAATGAAATATTTGTTAAAATCGTTTATTGTACAGATTTTGAAGACTAATTCTTAAACCCTTTTCTTGGAGTGAATCTGATTGCCTCCCATTCCCCAGGTGTATCATGACCCTTATGGGTCATACTACACAGCTTCCCACCTCCAGGACTCAACCCAGCTAACTAGTTTCCCAGTATCCCTTCATTCATATTACCTTGCTCACACTTTAACACCATGTATGGTCATAAAAACCACAGGCCTTTACTCCATTGTAATGCTTTCACACAAGCCTGTTGATGTTCAATCCTTCTAGTGCTCAAAACCCACTTTTCCTCCCCTCCAACCTTTCCAGGGATGATCTTTACCCCTTCCCTCCACCCCAGATTTATATACCATCTTAGTCTTTTTATGAATTCAATTTTTTTAGTTTTACTGTATATACATATTATGAGAACCTGTTCACCCCAGATATTTTTATTAATTAATGTGCTTTCTTTCAGCAATACCCAAAAATTCGTGAAATTGTCACAAAATCAAAGGGGCAGCCCCGAAAGCGTCTTCAACACGTCTATAACTTGTGTAAGGGGAAAATGATTTGTGAAGGTGGAGATGAAATTGATGTTAATAAAGATCCAGATGACCCCAACATAAGTAAAAAAGGATCTGGTCATGGTGGTTGTGGTCGATACCAACCAAACATAAAACGTGTGGGTTTGGAACTTGTTGCTGAATGGAAGCATGTAAATGAAGATACACAGGATCGGAAGCAGATACTCACTGCTGAGCGAGTGTATGAGATATTCAAACACATCACAGGTCAGTTGGTTACCAAGTATGGTAGTACCATTATTTTGAATAATTTGGGGGGGATCCTTTTTTCTAGTATCAATGTTCATTTTTATAAATTACATTAGTTACAGTACATAACTTATACTTGCCAGCATATCTTCAAAAATTACTCCTGAAAGACAATAGGAGAACCAAAGTTAACTAATGAAATAAAAGTTGTAGTGAAAAACTGCAGCCTTTCTCACTGTGTGGTCAAACTCCAAAATTCATGTTCTGTGTAATCCATGTGATTTGATTAAACAGTTTTTATTGGAGAACATGTAGCAGGTAGCTTTATTATTAGTTTTTTTTGGGTGCCCATTGACTTTTCACTTGGTGTACTTCTCATAAATTAAAAAATAACATGAAATTTCATTCAAAATTTGCTCATGAGTTCTTTATAAATAACAAAAAGGCACAATACCGTGACTGGAACGATACTCAAATAACCCGCACATAAAAGACAGAAGCTTACGACGACGTTTCGGTCCGACTTGGACCATTGACAAAGTCACACTAGTGTGACTTTGTCAATGGTCCAAGTCGGACCGAAACGTCGTCGTAAGCTTCTGTCTTTTATGTGCGGGTTATTTGAGCATGAGTTCTTTCATATGATTCAGTATTAATTAGAGTGGAGCAACATTTGAAGATGAGGCAAAAAAGAAAAATGTAAATAATTTTAACATGAAATTTGCTATTCTTAACCTGAGCATTTATGTTACTATCAGGAACCTAACTCTGCAAATTATGGGGATTAACTGTATTATTATTATTATTATAATCAAAAAGAAGCGCTAAGCCACAAGGACTATACAGCGCTGCAGGGCAGGAAGGAAGCGAGGGCATTATGATTTCTAGAGTCAAGACTCATGAAATCATAATGCAAACAGTCCATGGAACAGGTGGGGTTCTATCCCACGGCGAGTGAGTTGTAGAACTCCAGGACAGTGTGTAAGCCACTCGGCCAGCTGGCTACAATAAGATTCGTCCAACTAGGTGTATTTTTATACTATAGGGAGGTTAGAATGATTCCCACTGTGACCAAGTTTTTCCAGATGAATCTTTTGCCAGCTTAGCTGTGGTGAACTCTAGCTGGTGGAATATTCACCTGTAAAAACTTATATTTGTGGTCACAGTGAGGCCCATGCTAATCTCCCTGTGGTATAGTGTGACCTAAGTGTAAGTAGAAGCAAGATATACCTGGTATCTCACGTATTTATGAGACAGAAGAGACACGAGCAATCCTACCATCATGTAAAAGTTAGTTTCAGTTCCACACTCGGTAGGACGGTAGTACCTCCCTGGGTGGTTGCTGTCTACCAGCCTACTACCTAGAAGCATGTACAGTATTACACAATTTGAGAGAGTAGTTTATTCAGTACGTATTATCTTGAAATGTAAAAAAAAAAAAAATTTTTTAATCTGATTTCATTTCCTAGGTTTATGCCAGTTACTTGACTGTTTCCTTATATCTGCAGTTTCATCTCTCTTCTGGGTGAGCATGCACCCTGTTACTCTCACTGGTTTTCTGCTGCCTGATTTCTTCTCTTTCTATATTTTCTTGTATTGCATGGCCACTTATGACTGAACATTTTTCCTACAAAACTGTGAGCTATAATAAGTATATTTTCAGTGGATTATAATGCAGTATTAACCATATTAACCATTGTTTAATGATTGGCAAATTTAATAAACATTTTAGATTTTTAACCATTGAATCATGTATTCTCTTCGTGTGCATAAACTAAGTTTGCATGGAGGTAACCATGGCTCTTAACCCATGGTTAAAATAAAATAGTCCTGTCATGTTGGAGAATTGCTGGGTAGTCTACACTTTCCATGTCATTGTTCAAATTATTTCACTTCTTTTTCCACTCTGTTGGAGAATTGTTTCCTTGTATCATTGTAGCTGGGTGTGTAATTATAGTACATTCTGGGTGTGTAATTTCTAATCATGCCTTACTGTTCGTTTCATTCCTGGTATAAACCTTGTCCTCTTTTATACTGAATATTTTGCTCATTGTGATCATGTTTCTTCATGGTTTTCATTATTGTATTGATAGTACTTAACTCTATTTCTCACTTTTAACTTTGGCACTGTTTTGGATGCCCTCTATTGGGCATCTTATTAGTTGACAGCTTCATGTGTTTTTTCTGAGTTTGTTAGTCGCCACTTACTCAGCAATGGGTTGTACATATAAGGTGGTATGTCTTGAAAGTGTCTTTGTTACTAACTCCTGTCAGAATTATGAAAGCTCAATCATTGTCTGGTGGTGGTCTTTTATTGTGTTTCATGGAATGATTTTTGGGTAAGGCTTATTTATCCATTGGTTATACGTATTTTGTTAGATTGAACTTTTTCCTCAGGTGGTACTGTCTACAGTCTTCTTTTCCCATTTGTCTCTCATACTAGGTTTCACTTATTCCGCCTGTTGATGTTCAGTGGGTTGAGGTGGTTTTAGAGAGGATGGAGCAAAATAGGATGACTTTGAGGGTGTATAAATCTGTAGTGGAGGGGAGGAGGGGTAGGGCTCATCCTAGGAAAGGATGGAGGGGGGGGGGTAAAAGAGGTTTTGTGTGCAAGGGGCTTGGACACACAGCAGGCATGTTTGAGCATGTTAGATGGGAGTGAATGGAGACAAATGTTTTTTCAGACAGACGAGCTGTTGGAGTGTGAGCAGGGTAATATTATGTGAAGGAATTCAAGGAAACTGGTTAGCCGGGCTTAAGTCCTGGAGGTGGGAAGTACAGTGCCTGCACTTTAAAGGAGGGTTTGGGATATTTGCCGTCATATCTGTGTGCCTCTACAAAGACAGTGATTGCGTGTGAATGATAGTGAAAGTGTTGAATGATAATGAAAGGTTTTTTTTTTGGGGGGGGGGGGCCACCCTGCTTTGGTGGGAGACAACCAGCCTGTTTAAAAAAAAAAAATTGTAGGAAATATTGCTTTCACTGTGTTGTTTACAGTTCATTCCACTTGTATGTTTTTGCCTGTCCTTGTGGCTCATTTGTGCAGGTCATTTATAAACATGCCCTCTTTTTTTATTATTCAGTTTAAGTTAAGAACCTATCCTTGTCTATCCCTTGAAATACTCAAGTCATGATTTCCCCCTTTCCCCCATTCTTTCCTTCATCAATTTTGAGATTAGAGGCCTATCTCATAATCTTTCTTCACAGCTCATTTTTATCAACTTGGGTGCCAGTCTGTAGGCATCTCTGACAAGTTTATTTCTTCCTTACAAATTTGGGTTCTATACTGGTATTTTGTACTCAAGAATAGGTTGCATGTAGGAAATAATTTTGACCACTATTTGTTTAGGATGTTTGCAGTGGCATTATTTTTGTGAGCTTTGTGTGTGACCTGCTCCAAATTTATTTTAACTGTCTCTAGGTATTTAGGAAACAAATAACCAGTTTGGGAATACCAAGTAATATGTCACAAACTTACTTGACAAGCCTTAGTTTGTATTCAGAAATAAATCTACAATTTTCCTTACCAAATGAAATATTTTGCATTTTTATTGATTTATGCTCCCCATACAAATTTGGAATTTCATAATACTTAAGGCATCTACAATATATTTTTAGTTATCAGCAAATAGGAAAAATAAGTTACAGCTCTTCATTGTATTGCCTAATTCAAAGTATATTTTACTAGATGAGGAGTGTTACTTGCTGGGCATGGATCCCAAATATGCCCGCCCTGACTGGATGATCATGACTGTGTTACCTGTGCCACCTCTGCCAGTACGACCAGCTGTTGTCATGCATGGATCAGCCCGTAATCAAGATGATCTGACCCATAAACTGGCTGACATTATCAAAGCCAACAATGAACTTGTACGCAATGAGCAAGCTGGTGCAGCTGCTCACATTATAAATGAAAACCTGAAGATGTTACAGTTTCATGTGGCGACTCTAACAGATAATGATATGCCTGGAATGCCAAGAGCATTACAAAAATCAGGTAGACCTCTCAAAGCTATCAAAGCTCGCCTCAAGGGCAAGGAAGGCAGGATTCGAGGTAATCTCATGGGAAAACGTGTAGATTTCTCGGCTCGAACTGTGATTACTGCAGATCCAAACCTTCGTATTGATCAAGTTGGAGTGCCTCGATCAATTGCCCAGAATCTTACATACCCAGAAATCGTAACTCCATTCAACATGACAAAGTAAGATCATTAAATCTTATGATTTTTCTCATTTTTTGATATACAGTACAGTAGATACAGTACATTATTAAGGTTGTTATATGTTAAAAGTAAATTATCCCTTATATAGTATCTGTATTTTATTGTTCTGTTATGCCAGTTTTGTTTATAAAACTGCCATACATAGATATACACATGAGTAGTAAAGTTGCTGGCACCCGTGATTAATAACTAACAAAAAGTTATTCGTAATAAAACAATAGTTGGTGTAACATGTTCCAGGTAAGTCACTTAGCCTTCTTCACAGTAAGTGGTACTAATTGTCCTCTTGCTTAAGGAGCCCTTTTAAAAATATTTTCTTGAAAAATCTAACAAAGGGTAAATAAAAGTCCATTTGTCAGAATTTTAATTTTAATTTCCTCGGCTTGGAATATAATTTGTACAGTGGACCCTCGCATACCGTTGGCATCACATAACGTTAAATCCGCATACCGATACATTTTATCACTAAAATTTTGCCCCGCATACCACTAAAAAACTCGCTCAACGCTATTCGTCCTAGACGCATCTAATGTGCGGCCTGAGCCAGCCTCACATGTTCCGCAGGTGGCATTGTTTACAAGCCAGCCTCCGCGGTAACATCCAAGCATACAATCAGAACATTTCGTATTATTACAGCATTTTTGGTGATCTCATCTGCAAAATAAGTGACCATGGGCCCCAAGAAAGCTTCTAGTGGTAAAAAGGGTGAGAAATACTATCATACCACAGTCAGCTGCTGCTGCACCACGGTCAGCTGTTGCTGGACCAGTCAGCTGTTGCTGGATCAGTCAGCTGCTGCTGCACCATGATCAGCTGTTGCTGGACCAGTCAGCTGTTGCTGAATCAGTCAGCTGCTGCTGCACCACGATCAGCTGTTCCTGGAGCAGTCAGCTGTTGCTGAATCAGTCAGCTGCTGTTGCACCACGATCAGCTGTTGCTGGACCAGTCAGCTGTTGCTGGATCAGTCAGCTGCTGCTGCACCACGTTCAGCTGTTGCTGGACCAGTCAGCTGTTGCTGGACCAGTCAGCTGTTGCTGGATCAGTCAGCTGCTGCTGCACCACCACCAGCTGTTTCTGAACATGACTCGTCCCGAACCTGTCTGTCCAGCCTGAGCGCCTGCCTTGCTGTCATTGTTTACAAGCCAGGGTGGCCGGTTGCATGCATACATTTGATACATTTTGTATTATTCCATTATTTATAGTGCTTGTAACTGCTAAATAAGCCACCATGGGCCCAAAGAAAGCTTCTAGTGCCAACCCTGTGGTAAAAAGGGTGATAAATACTATTGTACCACAGTCAGCTGCTGCTGCACCACGGTCAGCTGTTATTAGACCAGTCAGCTGTTGCTGCACCACAGCTGCTGCTGCACCACAAGGAAGGTTCCTTGATGTTGGTGAGGGGCTCTTGATTTAGGGAATCGGATCTGTGCATGCTCCAGTTCCCCGAATTAAGCCTGAATGCCTTCCACATCCCCCCCTAGGCGCTGTATAATCCTTCGGGTTTAGCGCTTCCCCCTTGATTATAATAATAATGCTGCTGCACCACAGTCAGCTGTTGTTGTTGCTGCACCACCATCAGCTGTATTACTCGAAGATGTGGAGAGAGAGTTGTTGGTGTGGCTTAACGTGAAACAATTACCGAGAAACGATTAACCCCGGAGGGTTAGCAACCTAGGATAACCCAAGAAAGTCAATGCATCATCGAGGACTGTAACTTATTTCCATTGGGGTCCTTAATCTTGTCCCCCAGGATGCGACCCACAACAGTTGACTAACACCCAGGTGAACAGAAAAAAATGCCTGGAACTAGTGCTCATATTGGTGAGGTTAGTGGGGAGGATGTGGAAGAGTTGGTGGAGGAGGACAGTGAAGAACTAACCACTGATGAGCTGCTAGATCATCTTCAACAGTAAGAGGCCACACCTGAGGAAACTGCTCCGGAGGAGGGGAGAGAGAAATTGAAGAAGCTGCCTACTTCAAAGATTAACGAATTGTGTGCAATGTGGCTTAAAGTGCAAACCCTTTTTTGATGAAAATCACCCTCACACAGCTATTGCAAGCCATGCTGGTGACTATTACACTGACAATGTTGTGAAACACTTTAGGAAAGTCATAAAGGAACGAGAGGTACAGGCCTCTATGGACAGATATGTTGTGCAACAGAGGTCCAGTGACTGAAGCTGGTCCTAGTGGCATTAAAAGAAGAAGGGAAGTAACCCCGGAAAAGGACTTGACACCTTAAGTCCTAATGGAAGGGGATTCCCCTTCTAAACACTAAGACCATCAACACTCTCCCCTCCTCCCATCCCATCAATCATCACCAGATCTTCAATAAAGGTAAGTGTCATGTAACTGTGCATGTCTTCTTCGGTTTGTGTGTATTAAAATTAATATTTCATGTGGTAAAAAAAAAAATTTTCATACTTTTGGGTGTCAGGAACGGATTAATTTGATTTCCATTATTTCTTATGGGGGAAATTAATTCGCATAACGACAATTTCACATAACATTGAGCTCTCAGGAACGGATTAATAGTGCTATGCGAGGGTCCACTGTATTTCAGGTTTACTCTCTATACACACTTTTTTGCTCTTATGTACTTGCATACATATAAATATTATTGAGCTTCATAATTTTAGAGAGTTATCGTTCTTGTTTACCATTAATAGCTTATCTGAACTTAGAAATCCTTAACAAAATTTAAGTAAATTTCTCCGTTAATGATTTACCATTAAGTATTAAAAATCACATTTTGGGGTGAATAGGATTTTTGATCACTGAAACATTTTTCCTCATCTATTTGTTGAATATTTTGATTTGAGAGTTGTGTTTGTATTAATCAGTAGCTTATAACTGAATGTTTGACTACTATGTTTAGTACCAGTGATTGTTTGTGAAAATGGGTAGAATGAGGGTGCTTTGTCATTTATCACCTTGGTTATTGCTGTATTCTGAAGTATAAGGATAAATCATAAAACAGTTTTGATGGAATTTTTATTTGCTAGTGTGTTATGTAGTAACTCAAGCCACAATATATTCTATTCTGAGCAAAAGTTTTGGGGATTTTGTAATGCTTTCATCATCAACCCATGTAGATTTTTTAATTAAATTTCCACAAATGACAGCTAATCTTCAGAACAGTTTTTTCAGTGATGCAGCAATATTCAACAAGTAAAATAGCACTCTATGTATAGTAATTGCCGGGAATATTTTGAGGAACTTTTAAATGTCAATGAAGAAAGGGAATCTGTAATTTCATGCACTGGTCAGGGAGGTATAGCATCTTTTAGGAGTGAGGAAGAGCAGGATGTGAGTATGGGGGAGGTATGCGAGGCATTACATAGAATGAAAGTGGGTAAAGCAGCTGGAACTGACAGGATTGTGACAGAAATGTTAAAAGCAGGGGGGGGGAATATAGTGTTGGAGTGGTTGGTATTTTTGTTTAATAAATGTATGAAAGAGGGAAGGTACCTAGGGATTTGCAGAGACCGTGTCCCCCTTCCTTTTATATAAAGGGAAGGGGGACAATAGAGATTGTAAAAATTATAGGGGAATAAGTTTATTGACCTAGGTAGTAGATTGGTAGACAGCAACTGCCCAGGGAGGTACTACTGTCCTGCCAAGTGAGTGTAAAACGAAAGCCTGTAATTGTTTTACATGATGGTAGGATTGCTGGTGTCCTTTTTTCTGTTTCATAAACATGCAAGATTTCAGGTACATCTTGCTACTTCTACTTACACTTAGGTCACACTACACATACATGTACAAGCATATATATACAGTGGACCCCCGCTTAACGATCACCTCCAAATGCGACCAATTATGTAAGTGTATTTATGTAAGTGCGTGTGTACGTGTATGTTTGGGGGTCTGAAATGGACTAATCTACTTCACAATATTCCTTATGGGAAAAAATTCGGTCAGTAATGGCACCTGAACATACTACTGGAATGAAAAAAGTTCGTTAACCGGGGGTCCACTGTATATACACACCCCTTTGAGTTTTCGTCTATTTTCTTTCTAGTTCTTGTTCTTGTTTATTTCCTCTTACTCCATGGGGAAGTGGAACAGAATTCTTCCTCTGTAAGCCATGCGTGTTGTAAGAGGCGACTAAAATGCCGGGAGCAAGGGGCTAGTAACCCCTTCTTCTGTATATATTACTAAATGTAAAAGGAGAAACTTTCGCTTTTACTTTTGGGCCACCCCACCTCTGTGGGATACAGCTGGTGTGTTGAAAGAAAGAAAGAAAGTTTATTGAGTATACCAGGTAAAGTGTATGGTACGTTTATTACTGAAAGAATAGAGGTAAGACAGAGACTGGGATTGCAGATGAGCAAGGAGGCTTTAGAATGGGTAGGAGATGTGTGGATCAAGTGTTTACATTGAAGCATATATGTGAATAGTATTTAGATAAAGGTAGGGAAGTTTTCATTGCATTTATGGATTCAGAAAACGCATATGATAGAGTGGATAGGGGAGTAATGTGGCAGATGTTGCAGGTATTTGGAATAGGTAGTAAGTTGCTAAATGCTGTAAAGAGTTTTTATGAGGATAGTAAGGCTCAGGTTAGGGTGTGTAGGAGAGGAGATGATTACTTCCCAGTAAAAGTAGGTCTTAGACAGGGATGTGTAATGTCACCATGGTTGTTTAATATATTTATAGATAGGGTTGTAAAAGAAGTAAATGCTAGGGTGTTCAGGAGAGGGGTGGGATTAAATTATGGGGAATCAAATACAAAATGGGAGTTGACTTTTTGCTGATGATACTGTGCTTATGGGAGATTCTAAAGAAAAGTTGTAAAGGTTAGTGGATGAGTTTGGGAGGGTGTGTAAAGGTAGGAAGTTGAAAGTGAACATAGATAAGAGTAAGGTGATGAGAGTATCAAACGATTTAGATAAAGAAAAATTGGATATCACATTGGAGAGAGGGAGTATGGAAGTGAATTTTTCAGATACATTTGGGAATTGACTTGTCAGTGGATGGGTTTATGAAGGATGAGGTTAACCTTAGAATTGATGAAGGAAAAAAGGTGAGTGGTGCGTTGAGGTATCTGTGGAGACAAAAAATGTCATTCATGGAGGCAAAGAAGGAAATGTACGAAAGTATAGTGGTACAACATTCTTATATGGGTGTGAAGCTTGGGTTGTGAATGCAGCAGCAAGGAGGCAGTTGGAGGCAGTGGAGATGTCCTGTCTAAGGGCAATGTGAGGTGTAAATATTATGCAGAAAATTCGGAGTGTGGAAACTAGGGGAAGGTGAGGAGTTAATAAAAGTATTAGTGAGAGGGCTGAAGAGGGGCTGTTGAGGTGGTTTGGTCATTTAGAGAGAATGGATCAAAGTAGAATGACATGGAGAGCATTTAAATCTGTAGGGGAAGGTAGGCAGGGTAGGGGTAGTCCTCGAAAAGGTTGGAAGGAAGGGGTAAGGGAGGTTTTGTGGGCGAGGGGCTTGGACTTCCAGCAGGCGTGCGTGAGCGTGTTCGATAGGAGTGAATGGAGATGAATGGTATTTGGGACCTGACGATCTGTTGGGGTGTAAGCAGGGTAATATTTAGTGAAGGGATTCAGGGAAACCGGTTATTTTTATATTGCCGGACTTGAGTCCTGGAAATGGGAAGTACAATGCCTGCACTCTAAAGGAGGGGTTCGGGATATGTTGTGTATCTTTATATGCATATGCTTCTAAGCTGCTGTGTTCTGAGCACCTCTGCAAAAACAGTGATTATGTGTGAGTGAGTTGAATGATGATGAAAGTATTTTCTTTTTGGGTCACCCTGCCTCGGTGGGAGACGTCCGACTTGTTAAGATAGGAGTGAATGGAGACGAATGGTACTTGGGACCTGACGATCTGTTGGAGTGTGAGCAGGGTAATATTTAGTGAAGGGATTCAGGGAAACCGGTTATTTTCATATAGTCGGACTTGAGTCCTGGAAATGGGAAGTACAATGCCTGCACTTTAAAGGAGGGGTTTGGGATATTGGCAGTTTGGAGGGATATGTTGTGTATCTTTATATGTTTATGCTTCTAGACTGTTGTATTCTGAGCACCTCTGCAAAAACAGTGATAATGTGCGAGTGTGGTGAAAGTGTTGAATGATGATGAAAGTATTTTCTTTTTGGGGATTTTCTTTCTTTTTTGGGTCACCCTGCCTCGGTGGGAGACGGCCGACTTGTTGAAAAAAAAAAAAAAAAAAAAAAAAAAATATATATTATATATATATATATATATATATATATATATATATATATATATATATAAAATATATACACACACACACACACACACACATATATACAAAACTTTTCCTTCAGAATGATGGACCTTGTGAAGCGCGGTAACAACCAGTATCCAGGAGCAAAGTACATCGTGCGTGACAATGGGGCTCGGATTGATTTACGTTATCATCCAAAGCCATCTGATCTCCACCTTCAGTGTGGCTACAAAGTTGAAAGGCACATCACAGATGGTGACTTAGTTATTTTCAACCGTCAGCCAACTTTGCACAAGATGTCTATGATGGGACACAGAGTTAAGGTGAGAATATGGGTGTTCTTTTACTTACTAGTTTGTTCAGTAGCTTCTCCCAAGTTACTAGATTGGCAAGTTTTCTTGGTGATACAAATATGCTTGCTTTTATTGTCTTATGTAGTGTTGTGTACATTTTATAGACCATTCGTATCCTGTACTACACTAAAATAACACGGTCATTGATTCTATTTTCAACATAACGACCATCTCCCACTGAAGCAGTGACCCGAAAAGAAAACTGTAAAGTTTTTCTTTTTTTATTTAGTAGTTTATGCAAGAGAAGGGATTATTTGTCATTGATACTTAATGATACGTATTGAGTCCTGGAAATGGGAAGTACAATGCCTGCACTTTGAAGGAGGGGTTTGGGATATTGGCAGTTTGGAGGGATATGTTGTGTATCTTCATACGTACAGTGGACCCCCGCTTTACGATCAGCTTCCAGTGCAACCAATTATGTAAGTGCGTTTGTACATGTATGTTTGGGGGTCTGAAATGGACTAATCTAATTCACAATATTCCTTATGGGAACAAATTCGTTCAGTAATGGCACCTGAACATACTTCTGGAATGAAATAATATTGTAAACCGGGGGTCCACTGTATATGCTTTTAAACTGTTGTATTCTGAGCACCTTTGCAAAAACAGTGATTATGTTTGAATGAGGTGAAAGTGTTGAATGATGATGAAAGTATTTTCTTTCTTTTTTTGGTCACCCTGCCTCGGTGGGAGACGGCCGACTTGTTAAAAAAAAAAACTACTATTAAAATAACAAATCAGTGAGATAATCTATCATTTGATCTTTTACTCTCTGCAGCTCTTTAAAAGGATAAGTCCAAATTACAAGTTAATTTTCATCAGAAGTGTTCACCTATATTTTTTTTTTTTTTTCTCCAACAAATCGGCCGTCTCCCACCGAGGCAGGGTGACCCAAAAAAGAAAGAAAATCCCCAAAAAGAAAATACTATCATCATCATTCAACACTTTCACCTCACTCACACATAATCACTGTTTTTGCAGAGGTGCTCAGAACACAACAGTTTAGAAGCATATACGTATAAAGATACACAACATATCCCTCCAAACTGCTAATATCCAAAACCCCTCCTTTAGAGTGCAGGTGTTGTACTTCCCGTTTCCAGGACTCAAGTACGGCTATATAAAAATAACCTTTATGTACCTGCTTATATGTGTTTAGCTCTGGCCCATCTTAAACATTGCTGCTTACTCTATATCAACCCCTTTAGTGATGTATAATGGTGCTTCACCATTGCTCACTGGATCATCTGCTATCATAAACACCTCTGAGATAAAGTATATTGGACTATTCCCTTGACTAATCTGTCTTATAACTTCAAGTTGTTATCCTCCTCACCCTTCTCCTGCATCACCTCCCTCCCCTCCTCGCCGTCCTACTTCCTGCTATCTGCTACCCCCCTTCGTCCCTCCTCTCCCTCCCTCTCCTCCCCTCCCTCTCTCCCTCCCTCTCCCTCCCTCCCTCCCTCCCTCCCCTCCCTCCCTCCCCCCCTCTCCCTCCCTCCCTCTCCCTCCCTCCCTCTCCCTCCCTCTCCCTCCCTCCTCCCCCTCCCTCCCTCCCTCTCCCTCCCCTCCCTCCCTCTCCCTCCCTCCCTCTCCCTCCCTCCCTCTCCCTCCCTCCCTCCTCCCTCCCTCCCTCCCTCTCCCTCCCTCCCCTCCCTCCCTCCCCTCCCTCCCCTCCCTCTCCCTCCCTCCTCCCTCCCTCTCCCTCCCTCCCTCCCTCCCTCCCTCCCTCCCTCCCTCCCTCCCTCTCCCTCCCTCCCTCCCTCCCTCCTCCTCCTCCCTCCCTCTCCCTCCCTCCCCTCTCCTCCCTCCCTCCCTCCCTCTCCCTCCTCTCCCTCCCTCCCTCCCTCCTCCCTCCCTCCCTCTCCCTCCCTCCCTCTCCTCCCTCTCCCTCCCTCTCCCCTCCTCCTCCCTCCCTCTCTCTCCCTCTCTCTCCTCCTCTCCCCTCCCTCCCCCTCTCCCTCCTTCCTCCTCCCTCTTCCTCTTCCCCTCCTCCCTCCCTCCTCCTCTCCCTCCTCCTCCTCCCCTCCTCTCCTTCTCCCTCCTCCTCCTCCTCCTCCCTCCTTCTCCTCCTCCTCCTCCTCCCTCCTCCTCCCTCCTCCTCCCTCCTCCCCCTCCTCCTCCCTCCTCCTCCCTCCTCCTCCTCCTCCTCCCTCCTCCTCCCCTCCCCTCTTCTCCTCCCCCCCCCCCCCACACACACCCATGTGTGTAATGTCCAGTACCTGCTGAAGTATTCTTTTCTCTGGGCTTTCTGTTATTGCCCATTTCCACCAAGAAGACCTCTTTGTGTCGTTTGTTCAACACTTAGCAGACTTACTTGTCATTTTCCATGAGCTCTTTTTCCTCCTCCAGTTGAATTAACCTTCTCTCTTACCATTGTTTTTCTGATGTTTCTGTAAAGCTGTTTTGGTTTGGTCGGGTACCTCATTGTTGAAGAAAGAGCTCTTCATTTAAGGAACTGGAGCTACCTTCCCTTTGGATTAAACCTGATTACCTCTTAATTCCTCAGGTACTTTATGATCCTTATGGGTTCAACACTTTCCCATGAACAAAATAATTTGCCACTATTTTGTTACTTAAATCCCTGTGGACTCGCTTGTATGTGTCCACTTTCATTGTCATTGCTCAGCACATTGTACTTCTTTACTGCATGTATATTTATGAAATACTTCCTAATGTCCTTGTAACTTGGGTGTGTAATTTCCAACTATACCCCTTTTTTGTTTTGTTACATTCCTGGTAAGGAGCCTGTCCTTGTCTTCCCAGTGTATGCCCTGTAGTTTTTTATTTAATTTTTAGTCTTGCACAAGACTCCTCATAACTGTTTAGTCTTCTAATCTCCCTTAATTGCTTCCATTAGTTTGAATACTGCGATTCTTACTCTTAATATTATGTTTTTGTTGATATCTGCACTGCCTCTATCCCTGTGGCTTCAAATGCCTCTGGCCAGATTGCATGTTCTGTCATTGCTCTCCTTTAATAAGTCAGTGAAGAGCTGCTTTTGTCAGAATTTTTGGGGCAAGCACAAATCCTTGCTGTTTTCAGATTAGCGTATGGGGAACTCCACCAAGAGTAAAATCTTGTTTTTGAGAGCTAAATACAGTATATGCAATTTGGACACCCATTTTTAAATAATTTGCTACTGGCCTCATGGGTGTTTCAGCTAATTTTGATAGTAATAGTAGCAACCTAAAATTGAGTATCTGTATTGACAAAAATTTTGGTATCATCCCATCCCTAACTAGCTAAATAACTATTAAATTTGCTATGCATATTTTTATTCTTAGAAAAAACAGTTATGAAAGATTAGGTTGAAAAACAGCAGTTCAGAGGGTCATTTCAAATGTGATATCCAAGCGTTTCTGAGCTTATTTCTTTAGGTGACCTTACCTTGTTGGAAAGCAGGTTATGTAGAAAGACAGTGTAGTACTGATTTCTTGTATTTCAGGTTTTGCCTTGGTCAACCTTCCGAATGAACTTGTCAGTAACATCACCATACAATGCTGATTTTGATGGAGATGAAATGAACTTACATGTACCCCAGAGTATGGAGACAAGAGCAGAGATTGAAAACTTGCATGTTACACCACGCATGATCATCACACCACAGGCCAACAAGCCAGTCATGGGTATTGTACAGGACACCTTGACTGCTGTCCGAAAAATGACAAAACGTGACGTATTCTTGGAGAAGGTATGGTACACTTTTTACCTTTAGGTGCCTATAAACCTCATAAGATACAGTGGTACCCTGAGTTTTAAGTATAATTCATACCAGAAGGCTGTTCGAGTGCCATTACCAAACGAATTTGTTCCCATAAGCAATAATGTAAATTCGATTAGTCTGTTTCAGACCCCCAAAAATACTCTTACAAAAGCACTTACAATAATACACTTACATAATTGTTCAAGTTGGGAGCTGTACGAAACTTGGGGTACCACTGTATATGTTGCCAAAGTTTTCAATACTTTTATTTTAGTATCAACATTAATGTTATTGTAGTCTTTGGTTATATATCAAACGCAAGAGAAACTCGTGGTCATTTCAGAGAGTGTGTTCAATAAAATAAAATAAAGTTGGTGTCATCAGCAGAGTAAAGGTTAAAGATGATGGATGGCACTAGGTACTAAGGGAGGTATTTGATATAGAGGAGGAAAGGAAGAGGGTCAAGGATGCTACCTAGAAGAAACATTGGTTGAGTAGTTTAAGTGCTATGTATGGTTACATGCTGGTGTCTTGTTACTGAGGTAAGGTTAGAAGTTGTGTGCTCTTAAGTCCAGTTCATTGGTTTGAGAAGAATATTGTAGTGAATACCAAAAGCCTCTTACAGATGAAGAGTCCAAGAAAATACTCTTTCCTATCAAGTATGACAAATACTGTCAGTCCCTTTTTCATTTTTTTTTTTTTAAGTCTGAATCCAATTTGGCAAGAAATTAATATATTGTGGTTAGCTAAGTGCAAGCACAGCTGCTTGCAAATTATACTCTTGAATATTTTTATAGTAAAGTGATGTAAGATATTGGTCTGTGATTATGAACATGAGTTAACCCTTTGACTGTTTCAGTCATATATATACATCTTACAAGCCAATGTGTTTGACGTATATATGCTCAAAAATTCTAGCTGCTTCAAATCAAGCGGGAGAAAGCTGGTACTCCCACATATGAGAGAATGGGTCTGTGTGGTCAGTGTGTGCAGTATAAAAAAAATCCTGCAGCACAAAGTGCGTATTGAGAGAAAAAAAAAACGACTTTTTGGATTAAAGCGCCAACTTTGAGGTGTATTTTCATATAGTATTTATTTTTGTATTCTCATTTTCTTGGTCTCATTTGATAGAATAAAAGATATGTTATAGAAATAGAGATGATTTTGATTGTTTTCACTATGAAAAGGACCTTGAAATAGAGCTTACAGTAGCAGAAATGTTCAATTTTTGCCAATGTTTAAGAGTAAACAAGTGGCATCATTGTCCAATAAATGTCCAATTAGCCATTCTAATATGCAGTCACAAATGGGTTGACATTATTTATACAATTATTACAATAATACAGTAGTCTGCATAACAATAAGTCCTCTATTTTTTGTGTGAATAAAAATTCAAAATAGAAAGCAAGAGTAATATAAGATGGGCCTGGAGACATAACTGATGAACAGAGAAAATGTTATTTTAGTGCCAGGAATGTCTGCATTGTTCATTCTAGACCCTATTTTGAAATTGGCATATTTTTTAATTTGCATGAAATTGGCCAAATTGCAAATTTCTGACCACTTTATTGGGTAGTTGAAATTGGTAAATGGGCAGTTTCTTGTACTTAATTGATAGAACAAATGGAGTTCTAAAGAAATAGCTTTGTGTTTGGTCAACTGGAACATAGGAATTGGCCGAAAATAGGGCTCAAAGTGGGCGATATCGCCGATTCGTAAATATCGCCGAGATCACTAACTTTGCGAGAGCATAATTCCGTAAGTTTTCCATGAAATTTTGTACTTTTGGTGTCATTAGCATTGGGAAAAGATTCTGTTATTTCATAAGAATTTTTTTTTTTCCCAAATAGTTTGACACTGAGAGAGAGACTAAGATTGGGGGTTGCTACAGTCAAAGGGTTAAGGCACTATCTTTGTGAATAATGGTAATACAGGCTTTATTTTTTAGGTCTGGAATGACATACTCTTCAGGTATTGCAATTTCTGGAGACAATTTTTTAGGCACTTAGAAAAATGAAAATTGGTGAGGAACACAGGCCATCTCTCATTGAGGTTGGGCAATCTGAAAAAGAAGGAACTCACCATCATTCATTCACTTCATTCATAATGACCTCTGTTTTCAGTTGTGTTATTATCAGATTATTTATAATATCTTATTATGAGGTAAGATAAATAAAAATGGTATACTGCAGTTGAAAGTATTATGGAAAACGTCTTAAAAGTTCATGGATGTCAGGCTCATAGATGATGCAACAAGTATGGGGAGGAATATTGTGGAGTAGTAATGGTATACTGCATTGTAAACAGCAATATTCTTCTTTCAACAAACCGGCCATATCCCACCGAAGCAGGGCGGCCCAAAAAGAAAAAGAAAAAAGTATACTACATTGTAAACAGCAATATTCTTCTTTCAACAAACCGGCCGTATCCCACCGAAGCAGGGTGCCCCAAAAAGAAAAGCAAAAGTTTCTCTCTTTAACTTAAGTAATGTATGCAGGAGAAAGGGTTATTAGCCTCTTGCTCCCAGCACTTTAGTCACCTCTTACGACACGCATGGCTTACGGAGGAAGAATTTTGTTCCACTTCCCCATCATTATTTATGAATTGAATATGTATTAAATTTTTTTCAATTCACAATTTATATTCTCAGCTAGATGATTCCTTGTTTTTAGTAAATTGTTGTTTAGAAAGTCATTCAGGGACTTTTTATGTTCATGATATGCTTGTTTTCCTCTAGGCTGAGATGATGAACTTGTTAATGTTCCTGCCAATATGGGATGGACGCATGCCCCAACCAGCCATCTTCAAACCCAAGCCAATGTGGACTGGGAAACAGCTGTTCTCTCTCATCATTCCTGGTAACCTAAATTTGGTTAAAACCCATTCCACCCACCCTGATGATGAAGATGATGGACCCTACAAATGGATCTCTCCAGGGGATACCAAGGTATGCAGTTTGGTGGTTCATTAATTGTGCATTACCCTACTTGTTTTAAAAGCAATATTACAGGTTAAAAATTAACTTAGCCAAGTTCATTTCAAAGCCCAGCCCTGTCCGTGGGATATCACCCATTGTCTGGATGCCACCCACAACAGGGTCACCCAATTTAAGGAAAATTGCTCATACATTTCGCCTAGCTTTTTTCTGTTTCTCATTTTCCCAAACTCTTCTAATGTTCAAAAATTTATTAACTTGCCATAGTGAAAAAATAATGGAAAACTGTAAATTGATGTTTGTTATGTACCCTACCTTTCCACAAAATAACTGAAGAAAAGTACAAAACCTTCCTCTTGTATTTGTGGGCATTCCTTCACAACTCTTAAAATTTGGGGTTTACCAGTCACTGACTAGCACATTTTATTGAATATCCACAGCTATTTCCCTTTTTGTTTTAGTGGGCTCTAATCACTGAGGTTCCTTGATAATGTGAGAATCATGAAAACACTTGGAACGTTCCTGTTTTACTGTGATTATATTTCATATATAGATATTACCTGTTTCATGTGATCTTGCATGTGTATTTATTTTCTATAATGACTTTTAAATATTAATATCTGTAGTATGAAGTTTCTTTATATTGATTAAAAATTTCAGGTCTTGGTGGAGCATGGAGAATTGATTATGGGTATTTTGTGCAAGAGGACCCTTGGTGCTTCATCTGGATCTATGTTGCACGTTGCCTGGATGGAGTTGGGACATGAAATTGCTGGAAGATTCTATGGCAACATCCAGACTGTTGTTAATAATTGGCTACTCTTGGAAGGTATGAGTATTGGAATTGGTGACACCATTTCTGATCCTGCAACATACAGAGTTATCCAGGATACCATTCGCAAAGCCAAAGAGGATGTGATAGAAGTGATCCACAAAGCTCATAATGATGAACTTGAGCCTACTCCCGGTAACACGTTGAGGCAGACCTTCGAGAATCAAGTGAATCGTATCCTAAATGATGCTCGAGACAAAACTGGTGGTTCTGCTAAGAAGTCATTAACAGAATATAATAATTTAAAGGCTATGGTAGTCTCTGGATCAAAGGGATCAAATATTAACATTTCTCAAGTTATTGCTTGTGTGGGACAACAGAATGTTGAAGGTAAGAGGATTCCATTTGGTTTCCGTAAGAGGACGCTTCCTCACTTCATCAAGGATGATTATGGTCCAGAATCCAGAGGTTTTGTGGAAAATTCCTACCTTGCCGGTCTCACTCCCTCTGAGTTTTATTTCCATGCCATGGGTGGGCGTGAGGGTCTCATTGATACTGCTGTGAAAACTGCAGAAACAGGATATATCCAGCGACGTTTGATAAAGGCTATGGAGAGCGTAATGGTAAATTATGATGGCACAGTAAGAAACAGTGTGAGTCAAGTGATTCAGCTCAGGTATGGTGAAGATGGCTTGGCTGGAGAGTATGTAGAATTTCAGAAAATGCCAACTGTTAAACTGTCGAATCAACGCTTCGAAGATAAGTACAGATTTGATGTTACCAATGAAAGATATCTACGTAGGCTGTTTAATGAAGATGTCGTTAGAGACCTGATTGGTTCACCAGAGGCCATAAGTATCCTCGAGGGAGAATGGCAAAAATTAATTGAAGACAGGAATGGACTTCGACAAGTATTCCCCAAGGGTGACACCAAAGTGAGTTTTTATTTTGTTGTGTTATGTCAGTTATTTAATTTTTTATGATAAAAAATATATATTATGCAACAATACTGTTCATTGAAACTTAAACATCTCCACAGGTGGTGCTCCCATGCAACTTGGAACGAATGATCTGGAATGTACAGAAGATTTTTCATATTAACAAGAGGACTCCAACAGATTTGTCACCAGTGCGTGTTGTAGAGGGTGTAAGAGAAATGTTGAATAAATGTACCATTGTAACAGGAGAGGATCGCATCAGTTTACAGGCTAATGAAAATGCTACTTTCTGCTTTCAATGTCTTGTAAGGTCAACTCTGTGTACAAAGAAAGTAGCTGAAGAGTACAAATTAACTACAGAATCCTTCAACTGGCTTGTTGGTGAAATAGAGACCAGATTCCACCAAGCAATTGTAAGTTGATGCTAGTTTAGTTAAATCTCTAACTATTGTCAATATTACATACAGTACTGGTTAATTAGATAGTTCTCCATAATGTGTGTGTGTACAGCCTGTTTTCAAAAAAATTTGAGAAAGTAGTCTTTACTAAGATAAAGGCTATGTTAAGCATAAGTCTTCAGTAATACTATGTACTTCTAATTTTTTTATATAGTTATTTTTTAAGTGGCTCGATTTAGTTGTAGCTAAAGTTCTTTTTAGCAACAGTATTAAACAATTGTTTTGTGCATAAAAGGTTACTAAAATGCTGGGAGCAAGGGGCTAGTAACCCCTGTTTTCTGTATAAATTACTAAAATGACAAAAAGAGAACATTTTAATGATATTGGTATGGCCTAAAATTGAGCATCTGTATTGGCAAAAGTTTTGATATTGTCCCATCCTTAACCACGGTGAGAATGGACCATTTCAGATTATCTATTATTCCCTAGGCTGCTCCTGGAGAAATGGTTGGTGCTTTGGCAGCTCAGTCACTTGGTGAACCTGCTACACAGATGACACTGAACACTTTCCATTTTGCTGGTGTGTCATCCAAGAATGTAACATTGGGTGTGCCAAGGCTGAAAGAAATCATCAACATCAGTAAGAAACCTAAGGCTCCATCCCTCACAGTGTTTCTGGTTGGAGCATCAGCAAGAGATGCTGAAAAGGCTAAGAATGTTTTATGTCGCCTTGAACACACTACTTTACGCAAGGTGAGAACCTGTGATGTGGCTATAAGCAAGACAAGACCATTACAAATAGGCAGTTTTAAGTATGCAAAAAAAATTTTTTTACCAAATTATAAACAAAAATATTGAAATAGTTCAAGTAGTGGAGACAAATGTAGATAATGCTTGGAAATTAGATTTTTATCCAGTTAAAGGCAGAAATGTAAAATTTAATTAACAGGTAACATCCAACACTGCTATCTACTATGACCCAGACCCACAGAACACTTGTATTACTGAGGATCAGGAGTTTGTTAATGTCTACTATGAAATGCCAGACTTTGATGTCTCCAGGATCTCTCCTTGGCTACTTCGCATTGAGCTTGATCGTAAAAAAATGACAGGTTAGTAATGGTGATGAAAGTATTAATCTATGCAATTAAACTTTATAAACCTTGGTAAGTGATATGGACAAATTAGTTCACGTGAGCAAACACTTTGAAAAAACAGAAAACAGTTCAGTCCTGGGACCTCATTCACTAACTGAAACGTTCTCTAATATGTCCTAGTTTTTCTCACGTGTCTTTAACCCCTAAACAGTCCAAACGTATATGTATATTCTTACTGTTAGCACCCCAAACGTATATGTATTTTATTTTTCCTGCCTCCAAATTTGGCACGATTGGCCTGAGATGCCTGGTCAGCATAGAATGAGTCTCGACACTCGGTGTGCGCCATATTAAAAAAATCTGGGAGCACTTAGTACCTTGTGGGAGCGCCAGTTAAATTGAGCGCCAGCTAAAGAAAACAGCGCGGCAAACACCAAGGATTCACTGATGTCATATCATATTAACACTCCTCTTTTAAGAGGAAAGTGATGTTGGCCACAAGTGGTCGAGGAAATATAAAAAACCTTGATAATAACCCATGTGCAATATTTGTGCAACACCCTTTCAGAATGTCTTGTAACTTATGCCCTAAGTAAAGAGAAACAATTCTGGAACGTGTAACAAGTGTTCCGCAGGCTGGCTGGCCGGCCAGCTGGCTGGCTTTGTCACCATCTGTCTGTATCTGTCTATCTCTGTCTCTATCTCTTTCTCACAGGTACACATAAATACAATTATACATAGTGTAAATTACCTAGGGTAACCTAAAAAATCCAAAGTGCTATAATGTGCTTGTAGATATAATGCATAAGAATACCCATTGGTTCACAGTGGCTCTGAGAGAGAGAGAGAGAGAGAGAGAGAGAGAGAGAGAGAGAGAGAGAGAGAGAGAGAGAGAGAGAGAGAGAGAGAGAAAGCGAGAGAGAGAGCAGAGACAGATAAGCAGAGATGGAGATGCCGACACTCATCAAATGTCACCCCTTATCTCATCACTGCACCCTCGCCTGGACTCATCAAATGTCACCACTTATCACTGCACCTTCATGGATGCTAGTCACTGACACTTGTCTTACATCATGCTTCAAGGGAAATTATTATTATTATTATATACTTTCGTGTATCCAAAACATTGCTGGGACCTATAAATACTTTATATTCCTTGACAATAATAAACGACCAAGGCAGGTGTAAATGTCCACCTATCAGTGTGTTTGTAGTAGGTTGGTAGACAGCAACCACCCAGGGAAGTACTACCGTCCTGCCAGATGACTGTGAAACAGAAACCTGTAACTGTTTTGCATGATGGTAGGATTGCTGGTTTCTTTTTCTGTCTCATAAATACGCTATATAACAGGGATATCTTGCTACTCCTACTTACACTTTGGTCACACTTCACAGACACGCACATGCATATGTATATATACATACATCTAGGTTTTTCTCCTTTTTCTAAATAGCTCTTGTTCTTCTTTATTTCTTCTATTGTCCATGGGGAAGTGGAAAAGAATCTTTCCTCCGTAAGCCATGCGTGTCGTATGAGGCGACTAAAATGCCGTGAGCAATGGGCTAGTAACCCCTTCTCCTGTAGACATTTACTAAAAAAGAGAAGAAGAAAAACTTTAATAAAACTGGGATGCTTGAATGTGCGTGGATGTAGTGCGGATGACAAGAAACAGATGATTGCTGATGTTATGAATGAAAAGAAGTTGGATGTCCTGGCCCTAAGCAAAACAAAGCTGAAGGGGGTAGGGGAGTTTCGGTGGGGGGAAATAAATGGGATTAAATCTGGAGTATCTGAGAGAGTTAGAGCAAAGGAAGGGGTAGCAGTAATGTTGAAAGATCAGTTATGGAAGGAGGAAAGAGAATATGAATGTGTAAATTCAAGAATTATGTGGATTAAAATAAAGGTTGGATGCGAAGTGGGTCATAATAAGCGTGTATGCACCTGGAGAAGAGAGGAATGTAGAGGAGAGAGAGAGATTTTGGGAGATGTTAAGTGAATGTATAGGAGCCTTTGAACCAAGTGAGAGAGTAATTGTGGTAGGAGACCTGAATGCTAAAGTAGGAGAAACTTTTAGAGAGGGTGTGGTAGGTAAGTTTGGGGTGCCAGGTGTAAATGATAATGGGAGCCCTTTGATTGAACTTTGTATAGAAAGGGGTTTAGTTATAGGTAATACATATTTTAAGAAAAAGAGGATAAATAAGTATACAAGATATGATGTAGGGCAAAATGACAGTAGTTTGTTGGATTATGTATTGGGAGATAAAAGACTGTTGAGTAGACTTCAGGATGTACATGTTTATAGAGGGGCCACAGATAAATCAGATCACTTTCTAGTTGTAGCTACACTGAGAGTAAAAGGTAGATGGGATACAAGGAGAATAGAAGCATCAGGGAAGAGAGAGGTGAAGGTTTATAAACTAAAAGAGGAGGCAGTTAGGGTAAGATATAAACAGCTATTGGAGGATAGATGGGCTAATGAGAGCATAGGCAATGGGGTCGAAGAGGTATGGGGCAGGTTTAAAAATGTAGTGTTAGTGTTCAGCAGAAGTTTGTGGTTACAGGAAAGTGGGTGCAGGAGGGAAGAGGAGCGATTGGTGGAATGATGTAAAGAGAGTAGTAAGGGAGAAAAAGTTAGCATATGAGAAGTTTTTACAAAGTAGAAGTGATGCAAGGAGGGAAGAGTATATGGAGAAAAAGAGAGAGGTTAAGAGAGTGGTGAAGCAATGTAAAAAGAGAGCAAATGAGAGAGTGGGTGAGATGTTATCAACAAATTTTGTTGAAAATAAGAAAAAGTTTTGGAGTGAGATAAACAAGTTAAGGAAGCCTAGAGAACAAATGGATTTGTCAGTTAAAAATAGGAGAGGAGTTATTAAATGGAGAGTTAGAGGTATTGGGAAGATGGAGGGAATATTTTGAGGAATTGTTAAATGTTGATGAAGATAGGGAAGCTGTGATTTCGTGTATAGGGCAAGGAGGAAGAACATCTTGTAGGAGTGAGGAAGAGCCAGTTGTGAGTGTGGGGGAAGTTCGTGAGGCAGTAGGTAAAATGAAACGGGGTAAGGCAGCTGGGATTGATGGGATAAAGATAGAAATGTTAAAAGCAGGTGGGGATATAGTTCTGGAGTGGTTGGTGCAATTATTTAATAAATGTATGGAAGAGGGTAAGGTACCTAGGGATTGGCAGAGAGCATGTATAGTTCCTTTGTATAAAGGCAAAGGGGACAAAAGAGAGTGCAAAAATTATAGGGGGATAAGTCTGTTGAGCATACCTGGTAAAGTGTATGGTAGAGTTATTATTGAAAGAATTAAGAGTAAGACGGAGAATAGGATAGCAGATGAACAAGGAGGCTTTAGGAAAGGTAGGAGGTGTGTGGACCAGGTGTTTACAGTGAAACATATAAGTGAACAGTATTTAGATAAGGCTAAAGAGGTCTTTGTGGCATTTATGTATTTGGAAAAGGCATATGACAGGGTGGATAGGGGGCAATGTGGCAGATGTTGCAGGTGTATGGTGTAGGAGGTAGGTTACTGAAAGCAGTGAAGAGTTTTTACGAGGATAGTGAGGCTCAAGTTAGAGTATGTAGGAAAGAGGGAAATTATTTCCCAGTAAAAGTAGGCCTTAGACAAGGATGTGTGATGTCACCGTGGTTGTTTAATATATTTATAGATGGGGTTGTAAGAGAAGTAAATGCGAGGGTCTTGGCAAGAGGCGTGGAGTTAAAAGATAAAGAATCACACATAAAGTGGGAGTTGTCACAGTTGCTCTTTGCTGATGACACTGTGCTCTTGGGAGATTCTGAAGAGAAGTTGCAGAGATTGGTGGATGAATTTGGTAGGGTGTGCAAAAGAAGAAAATTAAAAGTGAATACAGGAAAGAGTAAGGTTATGAGGATAACAAAAAGATTAGGTGATGAAAGATTGGATATCAGATTGGAGGAAGAGAGTATGGAGGAGGTGAATGTATTCAGATATTTGGGAGTGGACGTGTCAGCAGATGGGTGTATGAAAGATGAGGTGAATCATAGAATTGATGAGGGGAAAAGGGTGAGTGGTGCACTTAGGAGTCTGTGGAGACAAAGAACTTTGTCCTTGGAGGCAAAGAGGGGAATGTATGAGAGTATAGTTTTACCAATGCTCTTATATGGGTGTGAAGCATGGGTGTTGAATGTTGCAGCGAGGAGAAGGCTGGAGGCAGTGGAGATGTCATGTCTGAGGGCAATGTGTGGTGTGAATATAATGCAGAGAATTCATAGTTTGGAAGTTAGGAGGAGGTGCGGGATTACCAAAACTGTTGTCCAGAGGGCTGAGGAAGGGTTGTTGAGGTGGTTTGGACATGTAGAGAGAATGGAGTGAAACAGAGTGACTTCAAGAGTGTATCAGTCTGTAGTGGAAGGAAGGCGGGGTAGGGGTCGGCCTAAGAAAGGTTGGAGGAAGGGGGTAAAAGAGGTTTTGTGTGAGGGGCTTGGACTTCCAGCAGGCATGCGTGAGCGTGTTTGATAAGAGTGAATGGAGACAAATGGTTTTTAATACTTGACGTGCTGTTGGAGTGTGAGCAAAGTAACATTTATGAAGGGGTTCAGGGAAACCGGCAGGCCGGACTTGAATCCTGGAGATGGGAAGTACAGTGCCTGCACTCTGAAGGAGGGGTGTTAATGTTGCAGTTTAAAAACTGTAGTGTAAAGCACCCTTCTGTCAAGACAGTGATGGAGTGAATGATGGTGAAAATTTTTCTTTTTCGGGCCACCCTGCCTTGGTGGGAATCGGCCAGTGTGATAATAAAATAAAATAAAAAAATAATAAAAATTATATAAAATAATATAAAAATGAGGAAAAAAGATATATCGGCAACACTTCTGCAAGCGGCAGGTCTCCATGTTGCCATCAGGTGAGCAAATTTTGCAGCTTCATATCTTGGTAAGTACTGACCCTAATTTTTTTTATTTTAATCCTATAACACTTAGAAAAATGCTCTCTTTATTTCTATAAAAAAAATTATTTTTCAAAATATTCGGGGCACTGGGCGAGAGAATACATTTGGACCGTTTAGGGGTTAAACTAATTAAATTTATGGGAAGTGGAGATTTCAGTTGCTAAACTGATCCATGTGTGTGACATTGGATATTTTCAGGGCAGACAAGGTAAAATATTATAGTAAAACCTTGATTTAACATGGACAAACAACAATTGGAAATAACATGCACAGTTGTTCAATTCAGAATTCTTATTGTTACAGGCCCATTAGATAAATTTATTTTGGGTTTAATGGGCAAAGTTAAATCCAAAATTGTCCTATAGTGTTACAGTTTGCAGGGTAAATATATTTCGGATTTAACACAGTGCATTAAATCCGCAATTGTCTGTTCTTTTTATGATCATGAAAATTACCTCTTCATTCAAATTTAATGAACTGTTAGTTTTGTGTCAATACCCTACCCTTATTAGTCTGATAATTTGAGGTTTCTTTGTACCTGGAAATTCTGAATTAATGCTGGTAACATGTTAATTTTCCTACAGATAAAAAGCTGACTATGGAGCAAATTTCCCAGAAGATTAACTCGGGTTTTGGAGACGATTTGAATTGCATTTTCAATGATGACAATGCAGAAAAACTCGTTCTGCGGATCCGTATTATTGTTGGTGATGACAAATTGGCTGATGATGCTGAGGAACAGGTTAGTTTTCTGGTTGCTCTAGTACTTGTATCAAAGGATGCTTTACTAGTTTGTAAAATATATAATACTCAGATACTTGCCATCTCCATAGTACATTTTTTGAACATTGTATATTGATTACTCCATTCTCTTAAAATTTATCTGTTTTCATAACATAAGTAGAGGTATTGGTAATTATAGTAATGAGGCACTTGCAGCACATTTTTAATAGTTTTACTTACACTCGAAAGTTTAATTTTTAATGTCCAAGAAACCTACACACCATTTAAGTTGTACATCTGTAAGTAATTTTTTTTTTTTTCAACAAGTTGGCCGTCTCCCACCGAGGCAGGGTGACCCAAAAAAGAAAGAAAATCCCCAAAAAGAAAATACTTTCATCATCATTCAACACTTTCACCACACTCGCACATTATCACCGTTTTTGCAGAGGTGCTCAGAATACAACAGTTTAGAAGCATACACATATAAAGATACACAACATATCCCTCCAAACTGCCAATATCCCAAACCCCTCCTTTAAAGTGCAGGCATTGTACTTCCCATTTCCAGGACTCAAGTCCGACTATATGAAAATAACCGGTTTCCCTGAATCCCTTCACTAAATATTACCCTGCTCACACTCCAACAGATCGTCAGGTCCCAAGTACCATTCGTCTCCATTCACTCCTATCTAACATGCTCACGCACGCTTGCTGGAAGTCCAAGCCCCTTGCCCACAAAACACATCATCATTCAATCACTGTTTTGCCAGAGGTGTACCGACATTGCAGTTCAGATGCCCCTCCTAACTGCGATATCCCCACCCCTCCTTCAAAATGCAGGAAAAGTGAAGAACGATCCTTCCTATATAAGCCATACATGTTATAAAAGGCAACTAAAATACCTGGAGAAAGGGGCTAGTAACCCCTTCTCCTGTATTAATTACTAAATTTAAAAAGAGTAATATGTGGTGTGAATATTATGCAGAAAATTCAGAGTTTGGAGATTAGGTGGTGGTATACTTGGAGTCTACTTGGAGGGGGTTTTGGGGGTCAACACCCCTGAGGCCTGGTCCGTGAACAGGTGGGGTGGAGTTACCAAAAATATTTTTTTCAGGGGGCTGAGGAGGTGTTGTTAGGTGGTTTGAATGTTTAGAATGGAGAAAAAATAGGAAGGCCAGGAGTGGTTAAAAATCTGGGGTGGATGGAAGGAGAAGTAGGGGCTGTTCTAGGAAAGATTGGAGGGTGTGGGTTAAGGTTTTGAGTGCCAGGGGCTTGGACATCCAACAGGTGTGTGCGATCATGTTAGGAGTAGGTGAAGGCAAGTGGTTTTTTTTTTATTTGAAATGCTCTTGGGGTGAGCAAGGTAACATTTACAAAAGGATTCAGGAAAACCAGTTAGCCGGACTTGAGTCCTGTAGGTGGGAAGTACAGTGTCTGCACTCTAAAGGAGGGGTTTGGTATATATGCTGTTTGGAAGGACATGTAAACTGTCATGTCTATGTGCCTCTGGCAAGACGGTGGTAGTGTGAATGGTGATGGAAGTTTTTTTTTTCGTTGCCCAGCCTCAACAGGAGATGGCCAGCATTATTAAAAAAAAAAAGTGCAAAGAATAATCTCTCTTTTTCTTTCAACAGGTGGACAAAATGGAAGATGATACTTTCTTACGATGCATTGAAGCAAATATGCTGAATGACCTTACACTACAGGGCATTGAGGCCATCACCAAAGTGTATATGCATTTGCCCCAGACTGATGAGAAAAAGAGGATCATCATTAATGAACATGGAGAATTTAAGGCAATAGCTGAGTGGCTACTTGAGACTGATGGTACTGCCTTAATGAAAGTTCTTTCAGAGAGAGATGTAGATCCTGTGAGAACTTCCTCAAATGATATCTTGGAAGTATTTGAAGTCCTTGGAATTGAAGCTGTCCGTAAATGTATCGAAAAGGAAATGAATGCAGTGCTTATGTTCTATGGACTGTACGTGAACTACCGTCACTTGGCTTTGCTTTGTGACGTTATGACCAGCAAAGGTCACTTGATGGCAATCACACGTCATGGTATAAACAGACAAGACACTGGAGCATTAATGAAGTGTTCATTTGAAGAATCTGTGGACGTGTTAATGGAAGCTGCCTCTTGTGCTGAAGTAGACCCTATTCGTGGTGTTTCGGAAAACATCATGTTAGGTCAGCTTCCCAAAATAGGTTCTGGGTCATTTGACCTGGTCTTAGATGATGCTAAGTGCAAGTTGGGCATGGAGATCCCCATGCCTGGAACAGGTATGATGATGGGTGGAGGAATTTTTGGTGCTGCATCACCATCCTCTGGCATGACACCGGCCCAAACCCCATGGGCCTCAGGAGCAACACCATCAATGTCGCCATATGGTGCATGGACCCCAGGTGTAGGAAGTGGTATGACACCAGGTGGACCATCCTTCTCTCCAGCTGCAGCAAGTGAGACCACAAGTCTATCACCAGGGTATTCTCCAGCATGGTCTCCACAGCCTGGCAGCCCAGGGTCTCCAGGCTGCACAAGTCCATACATTCCAAGTCCAGCCAATGCACTATCACCCTCCTACTCTCCATCATCACCAGCTTTTCAGCCTACATCTCCAAGCATGACTCCAGCATCTCCAGGATATTCACCAACATCACCTACCTACAGTCCAACAAGCCCTCAGTACTCTCCAACCTCACCACAGTACTCTCCAACAAGTCCATCTTATTCTCCCACATCACCATCTTACAGTCCCACCTCTCCATCATACTCGCCAACATCACCATCATATAGTCCCACCTCTCCCTCGTACTCTCCAACATCACCATCCTATTCTCCAACTTCTCCATCTTACTCACCTACATCTCCATCATATTCTCCTACAAGTCCCTCATATTCACCTACTTCCCCAAGTTACAGTCCCACTTCTCCCTCCTACTCTCCTACTAGTCCATCTTATTCTCCCACATCACCATCTTATTCTCCCACATCACCATCTTATTCACCTACATCTCCCAGTTATGCTCCTAACTACTCTCCATCATCTCCTGGATATTCTCCAACCAGCCCTTCCTACTCCCCAACTAGTCCATCTTATTCACCGAGTTCTCCTCAGTACTCTCCAGCTTCCCCATCCTATTCACCATCTTCCCCCAAGTATTCACCCACAAGCCCCAACTATTCACCAACAAGCCCAACCTACTCACCTGGCTCTCCTTCATATTCCCCCAGTTCACCAAAATATTCACCTACAAGTCCAACTTACTCACCCACCTCTCCTTCGTATTCCCCATCCTCTCCTAAATATTCTCCTACATCACCCAATTACTCACCAACGTCACCCAAGTACTCTCCAACATCACCCACATACAGTCCCTCCAGTCCTCGATATAGCCCTTCAAGTCCAAAATATTCCCCAACATCTCCAACCTACAGTCCAAGTAGCCCCAAGTATAGCCCAACTAGCCCAACTTACAGTCCAACTACTCCAGGTTATAGTCCAACATCACCTTTGTATTCTCCAAGTTACGAAGATGATGAAGAGGAACAAAGGAGAAAGCAGAAAAAGAAATCCAAGCGCTAAAATTTGGAGTACAGGTATTGATAGGTTTAGTGTTAGAGATTTTGTGTATCAAGTTCTGTATTAGTAGAAACAAAATGGCACTCTTGTTTAGGTAAAAATTAAAACCCAAATAGGCTTTTAAGGACATAAAATATATTTATTTTCTTCACATTTTACAGCTAAGCTTTTTTCATTCACCATTTTCCTCTGAACCTCTGATAACAAATTATTTTTGCCCTAGATTTCACTTATGGCTTTTGTATTGCTTTAGTTATCTTTCATATACTGTATGTAGTCATAAATGTTCTCATGAATATAAAATAGGAAATATACATACAATTACTTAATTTTATGTTATTGAGAGGTACATTAATTTGATATAATTGTGAAATCACTTTTTTTTTGTCCTTTTGATTTTTAATTTGACTATTTCTATGTGAACATGTATACCCAATTTATATGGTGATCATATTTTTTTGTTTGTATTGACTAATAAAATATATAAAATTCATTGTGAATTTTGTTGTTCATGAATTAGTTTGTAAGCTTAACACTGACAAAACCTACTACATTATGTTTGGTAGCAGAGCAGGAGATGCGCAAATTAACATTAAGATCGACAACACTAATTGCCAGGCATAATGAGGGCAAATTCCTAGGCCTATACCTCGACAACAACCTGAACTTCAGCACCCATATCCAACACACAACCAAAAAAGTATCCAAAACGGTTGGGATCCTCTCCAAGATACGATACTACGTGCCGCAAACTGCCCTTCTCACACTATACCATTCACTTACATATCCATACCTCACCTATGCTATCTGTGCTTGGGGTTCAACTGCAGCAACGCACCTAAAGCCAATAATAACCCAACAAAAAGCCGCAGTAAGAATAATCACTAAATCCCATCCCTGGCAACACACCCTCCCCCACTCTTCATAGATCTAAACTTACTCCCTGTTCAGTACATCCACACTTACTACTGTGCAATCTACATCTACAGGACCTTAAACTCCAATATTAACCTTGACCTAAAATGCTTTCTTGATAGTTGCGACAGAACCCACAGGCACAACACCAGACACAAACATCTCTGACATTCCCCGTGTCAGACTAAACCTTTACAAAAATTCAATGTATGTCAAAGGCCCTAAAATCTGGAACACCCTACCTGAAAATTCTAAAACTGCAGACACATTCATCACCTTCAAAACTACCATCAGAAAACATCTTATCTCCCTGATACACCCTGTCAACTAATTACACGAATACCACCTGGTGGTTAACACTTACACTTTCACTCACCCATTTGACCATAAACAGAAATATCAATCTCAATCTCAAAATAATGAATCTTAACTAGTCATAAGTTGGCCTGTGATACTCCAATACTGAAACTATGTATAGTGCCAAAACAAAAGCATTCACATTGCTAAACTCACAAACTAGTATTTAGTCACTTAGCCATAATACCAACTTACCTCATAATTTTGTAATATTTTAAACTTAAGATTTAATTTAAGTCTGCCCAAAATGCCTAGCCATGCTAGGTGTTCTAGTGGTACACTGTAATTATTATTTTACTACATGTAAACCACACAATAACCAAATTCTGTAAACTCAGCATTGTAATCCTTATAGAGAATAAACTTTGAATCTCCCACCAAGGCAGGGTGACCCAAAAAAGAAAGAAAATACTAAGGTTATTAATTGATCTCCTCTTCAAGGGGGGCTCCTTGTCGTGGTGAAAAGGCTCTTGGTCTGAGGAATTAGACCTGTTGGTCTCCTTCCTCAGACCGAACCTAATTACCCCCCAATCCCCCCTTCCCTATCCCATCCTCCCCTTTTTCCTTTCCTCCTCTTCCTCCTCACCCCTCCCTTTTGCCCTTCCTCTTTTTGGCCTTTAGGATTTTTCCCACAGGCACGCTAGTTCCTAGGTAGGGGAAAGGGTACTGTGGTCCATCCCATTCCGTTGAGGTTCTTGGCAGTGGCGTAGTTTGCCGTGGAATTTGGATCGCCTGGGGATGTCCCGATCCCTCTCCAGTATCCCGGAGGGTGGCTTTGGGTGTCTTTCAGGCAACGGGTGTAGTATCTCTGGAAGCCACCTTTCGGATTCCGGGGTTGGTGGCGAAGGAGGTATGCTTTGTGGCGGATATCCGGCCGCCCTCTCTTTTGTCCACCGAGGTAGCTCGGCAGATGTGAGGTTGCTATCGCGGATTGTTGGTTTACTGGCATGAAGGGTAGGGTATGGCATGGGTTCCATGCTGCATCTGCGCTACTTGCGGTGCTGAGGTCTCCTCTTGGATGCAGAGGAAGATTTCTGGCCCTTTCATTCCTCCTAGGAACTATCCCTCCCTGGTCCCCCCTTTTTTTATTCTTTTTTTTATTTTATTTTTTTTTTCTTAAAAAGAAAGAAGTAACCTAACCATGGAGTCCCCAATCCATGACCCCTCTACCCCTGGGCCCCTTATTGTTACCGCATCCCGTTCCGACCTCGCCTTGTCTTTTGGCCACTCTTCGGACACTCCTAAGGCCCCTGTACCTCTTCCTGGTGCTGTTTCGTCACCCGCTTCAGGTGCCGGGGTTTCGACTGACTCCTTCGATTTGTCTGACCTCCGCTCTCCTTTGACTATGCTTCCGGCCTCTCCCTCTACAGTGCGGCGATTTTCGAATCGCCAGCCTGTCCCACGTCGGACCAACTCTGGTCCCACTTCTAAATGCCAATGACAATCTCCTGATGATGTTACTTCATTACCTTCCCATTCTACTCGGAAAAGACCAACACGTCATGCACTCCCTCTCCACACTCGATTTCGGACCACACAATGGACTAAATTCTTTGCTTTAAGACCGACTTCTACTGCCTATCTTTCCGACCATAGTATTGGCAAAGCGCTTCTACGCCATGTTGGTAGAGATATTTCCTTTCATGCTCTTAAGAGTGGTATGCACATCATCACAGTCCAGAATTCTACCCAAGCTCATGATCTTTCTCCCCTCAAGGAAGGTTCCTTGATGTTGGTGAGGGGCTCTTGATTTAGGGAATTGGATCTGTGCTCCAGTTCCCCGAATTAAGCCTGAATGCCTTCCACATCCCCCCCCCCCAGGCGCTGTATAATCCTCCGGGTTTAGCGCTTCCCCCTTGATTATAATAATAATAATAATCATGATCTTTCTTTTCTTTCACATATCAATACTATTCCTATCACTATCGAAAAACATCATTCCCTCAATTCTTGTAGTGGTACTGTTATTCTGCCCCATACCATAGTCCAACAGAATTTCCAGACATGTAGCAATGACATTCTCGAACAGCTGGAACTCCAAGATCTCCCAATTCTCAAGGTAGACACTTATGTTCTTCCTGCCCGTGGGTGAAGACTATACCCTTGCAATGTGGCTTGTTTAACTTTTGACAGCCGTGAACTCCCATCTTCTGTTTACGTAGCAGGACATCGGTTACAAGTTAGGAAGGTGATCCCTACACCACAACATTGTAGAAATTGCTGGCGATTTGGCCACCCAGCAAAATATTGCAGAACTATAGCCGAATGCCCAGTCTGTGGTGCCGATGACCATTCTAATACGTCTTGCAGTCGACCTCCCTCTTGCCTTAATTGTCATGAGGTTCACCCTTTATACTCTTGCCATTGCCAGGTCTACTTAAATGAGTGGGAAATTTGTTGCCTCAAAGAGGCAGGTCTCCTTTATGCTATGGCAGTTTCTCATCTCCGCCTCCAAGGGAGACTACCCCGTGTTTCTTATTCTCGTGTTTCAAAACGTCCCCCCACTTCTGAGGTCCCATCTTCTGCAGCCTCCTCTGCGGTTGCCAGTCCCATAGTCACTCCTGTATCTAATTCTTTTGCTGTCCTGGGCTCAGACGTCCCTACTTCAACACCTCGGTCTGTTCTCGCTTCGTATTCTCCCTCACAAACCCCGGTATCGACAAGACCTCGTATGACACCTCCTCCCAATCGTTCCTCTACTTCTCAGAAGTCCAAAAAAATCTCCTTTAACCCCTCCTTCCCTTCATCCACCTCCACATTTTACCTTCCCAGTCTCTGTACCTGGGTCTTCCCCTTTCACTGGCTCTGTTACGAGTGTGGAGGTTCATCCTCCTCCTCGTACTGTGCCTTCCTCCCCTGTCCCCTCCCAAGTTTCTTCCTCTTCTGCCACCTCCCAGGTTTCTGCCTCTTCTGTCCCCTCCCACACTTCTCCAGTTCCCTCCACTCTTTCGCCTTCCCCTACCTTGGTACAGTCCATTACAGTTCCGATCTTTACTCAAACTCCTCCTCCTTCCATCTCCAATATTGTCTCCCATACGACGTCTCTGAACTCCAAAACACTTGAAGCAATCTCTGAATATATTGCAGAGACCAAACCATCAATGGACACTGATCCACCCTCTGTTCCTTCTCTTAACTCTTCTCCATCTGCACAACTCCTTTCTTCACAGCGCACCGTTCCTTCGCTGCTTGAACGTTTTCTGTTGCCACCACATGTGGACTTTTCTAAACCCTCTAGTCCGTAAGTACCCTTACCTGCGGATTTCTAGTATCTTTATCGTTGCCAATCATGGCCTATTTACAGTGGTATATATGCGGCCTCCGGTAATAGGGGTGAGCTTCAGATGGTATAATATTTTGGCCCAAGCATACTCCTTAGGCCTCTGAGGCAATCTACCATCTTTCCTTAAGAACTTTTTAACTGACAGACATTTCCGTGTTCGAGTCAATAATGTGCTCTCCTCGGACTTTGTCCAAGCTGAAGGTGTCCCTCAGGGATGTGTTTTGAGCACAACACTTTTTCTCCTTTCTATAAATGATTTGGCCTCTGTTCTTCCATCCAATATTTGGTCATCACTCTATGTAGATGACTTCACTATTGCTTGTGCAGGCACTGACTGTCACCTCATTACAGTTTCTCTCCAACATGTGGTCGACTGTGTTTCCAATTGGGCCACCACGCATGGGTTTAAATTTTCCAGTACCAAAACTCACCAAATTACTTTCACTAGACGCTCTGTCATCTCCGATCATCCTTTGTACCTCTATGGCTCCCGTATCCCTGAACGTGATGCAGTCAGGTTTCTAGGCCTTCTCTTTGACCGTAGGTTATCCTGGAAACCCCACATTACCTCTCTGAAGGCAACTTGTCACAGCCGGCTGAACCTTCTTAAAACCCTTGCTCATCTTTCCTGGGGAGCTGATCGTCAAACTCTCCTTCGCCTACATTCAGCCCTCATTTTATCGAAACTCGAATATGGTGACCAGATCTATTCAGCGGCCTCTCCTGCTACTCTCTCTAGCCTTAACCCCATCCATCACCAAGGATTACGTTTATGCCTTGGTGCTTTTCGCTCTTCCCCTGTTGAGAGCCTCTATGCAGAAGCAAATGATCCATCCTTGTCTGATCGCCGTGATGCCCATTGCCTTCGCTACTATGTGCGCTCTCACGATCTCCGCAATCCTTCCATTTATAGAATGGTCACTGATATAAGTAAACAT